TTTCAGTTGCGTTGCTGTCTATGCAGGGTCAGAGAGCTCTCAGATTCCATCAAAAATATCTTAATTTGTGTTCCGAAGATGAACAAAGGTCTTACGGGTTTGAAACGACATGAGGGTGAGTAATTAATGACAGAATTTTCATTTTTGGGTGAACTAACCCTTCAACATCTGAAATGATTTGGTCTTGGCCTTTACATCATAACCCACATTTCATAACACTCTGTAGTACATAGTAAACAAACAAGTAAATCAGTGAAATATTACACAAGGAATAAAAAACTAAATTGGTAATGTCATCATTAAGTGAGGCCCTTTCCCAATGATGAACGACTCACCTCGGGCATAGCACTTAATTTCTCTAAAAGGAAAATAAATAAATTAAAAGACCCAAGAAAGGCAATGGAAGGGAAAAAAGTAAAAATAACTATGAGGCTAAAAAAGAATTACAGCTCATTTGGAGACCCTAAAAAGTGGTCTACGTGGAATCGAATCATATCAAGTTTTTTAAAATTTGTGCGGTGCTTATTTGAATATGCCATACATATTCCTGACAGGTAATCTATTCCTAATGTTGCTGAGCAGAGCCTACAGGGCAAACCGTTTACAACCATAAGTACTGAGAACTCCACACACATCCACTGCTGTGTATTCCGCAACAGAGCTCCACATTAATGAATTTAGATATTAATATATTGCTCCCTACCCACAGTTAAACCTCATTACAACATTATGTTAAATGCACAATGTGACACAGATGAATACCCCAATAATATCACACCAAAGGTGCCGCAATTTGTCATTGTGTGCATGGCTTGTGGATGTTGGAAAATCTGTGTAACTCTTTAAACGCTATGGTAACTGTGAGCCATCCAACTGTGAATATAAGAAGAAATTAATTACTAAATCTAACAACGATCTGCAGGTAAAAATAAGCAAGTAAATATGTATGCTTAAGATATTATTTTTGATAAATTGAAGTGTATTTGGTTTTAACTAGTATGATTATATATACTTTTTAATATATATTTGACTGCCCATTGGTGCACCCATGGAGTGGGATGTGTACCAGCGCAGCCCACATTTTATCAGTAATGCTTTTCTGCATAATATTCTCATACATCAACATTTCAAAGCACATTGTGTACGCAGAGCACTTTGGACGCTTGATAAATTTTTTCCTTATGAAGCTGCGGCTGGCCTCAAACGCGCTGGAGGTAATAAATTGCCTTAATCAAATCTAATTTCTGAAAAATACCCGTGGGAACTACAAACAAAGAAGCAGGTCTTGTAAGAAGCATGAAAAATAAGGAAGACAGGGGCAGTTTATTATAATCAACTTGGCATTGAATTACAAAATTAAAATGAGGTGGTCCTTGATATTCTGGCTTAGCAATACACATGATCTTCTAAGTAACATTCTTTTGCATTTCATAAGAAAACTGTTCAAAGGTACAAAGAAGAAAAAAAGGAACAGATTTATCGCAAAGACCTGGAATGCCTGGAAAAGCTGGAAGAAAAAACCCTTTGGCTCCTGCTCACAATAAATTTGTGAGAAAAATAAACAGGGCTTTGCCAAAAAAAATAAAAAATAGCCTGATGGTAAACAATTTAATCATTTAATTTACATATGCAACACAGCAGAGTGATCACTGTATGCTTCGTATGTTTTCATTTCAGAAATTAAAAAGTGCAAACAAGAAGAAAATTAATAATTTTGAATAATTTCTAATATAAAACGGCATATCAACCATTGTCAAAATAATTTGGTAATATAATTTAAAACTTACTGAAAGACAACATAGAATATATATATATTTTTTTTTTTTAGTTTGTCCTACCTCATGACCATTTAAAATTAATTAGATTAAGAAACAATAGTAATAAACATAAATGTTAACATTCATATAAATTTTAAGCTAAAATCTTAATGTTGATAAAAATGAAGACCATGGCTGATATGCCAAATATTTATTTATTAGTTTATCTACATAGAGACAGTACAACATTCATGATTCCAGCCATACTCATTTATCTGTATATGTATTTATTTTTTACCCTGTACAGCTTATCAACTTTGTGGGAATCAACAGGGAGAGACCGAGAGAAAGGTTGAGAGACAGAAAAAAGAAGTTGGAGAGAGAGAAACAGAAGGATGGGAGAAGAGAGCAAAAGAGCGATGGAGGGCGCAATGCTGTTTGATACGTACCGATTACGTTTGCCTTACACTGGCATTGACCTGAGTCCTGGTGACAGGTAATATCTGGCTGCACGGTCCCGGCGGTATTGCAGTTACAGGCGCGGCAGCCGTCAGCCAGTGCCGACTGCAGCTTGTAGAATCTGTGTTGGCACTGATTGCACTGTCTGCCAGACACATGTCGCTTGCACTTACACTGCCCCCCGATCTGCAGAGGAAGGAGAGTGTCACATGACTGTGCTCCAATTAGTCAAGTTGAGGAGGCCAGTGTGAGTGTGTGTGAGTCATGGATGGGCAGCTCTGCTCTGTCTCTTTTTTCTTTCTTTCACTCCCCATTGACTTCCATGGCATTTTTCCTTACTGTGGAAGTCAATGACAACCAGCAACTGTTTGGTTATCAACATTCTTCAAAATATCTTCTTTTGTATTCAACATAAGAAAGTAACTAAGGTTTGGAAAAATTTGAGAGAGAGAGTAAATGATGACAGGCTTTTCATTTTTGGGTGAACTATCCCTTTAAGTGCTGATTCAAAAGTTAATAAATCAACCAATAATATAATATAATATAATATAATATAATATAATATAATATAATATAATATAATATAATATAACATAATAATAGCAGTAGTAGTAAAAATTACATTAAAATTGACAAATATTCAGTGTAGTCTCACTAAATGTCACCAGAGTTCATACATAATATTTACTGGAATAAACGAAAGCTTTTTTGCATGACTTAATAGAAAATAAAAAAATCTGCATCAGAAAAATACTATCAAATCTTGAATCATTTATCAATAATGTTAATAGGATAAAACATAAGACATAAGCTACATAAATTCCAACCATGAGCCAAGAAGGCTCAATCCCTACCCAGCACCAAACAGAAACTGCCCAACCAACAGTGTAAAGTCATTTCCATATGTGAGGAAACAATCATTCTGATCATTTAAATAAGGTAACAATCCAACATGGGGCTGACCCAACCATTGATTCTGAATTTGTCATTCACTATATCTATCGACATGGATCTGTTCCTCCAAAATGGCTTTCATGTAACTAAGATAAAGGAAAAGGTGGGGGAGAATTCTCCCGAGAGAGTCTCTCATGACGACACTTTTACATACTCCCTACTGATCAAACCACTGATAAATGCTGTTGTGAATACTAAAGTCCTCAGCCAATACATCAATGCAACCCTCTCGAGAGGGACTGGCCTATATCGTTATCTGAATCTACAATTCTCAGGTCCATCACAAAGCTGGGGATCAAAGCCTCAGATGTCTGCCTTTGCATATGCGGAGATATTGCCTTGACGCTACTGTTGCACCTTGAAATTCAGAAATGTATCTAATATCTCAAATATCAGATATAGATCAGAGGCCAAAAAATCTGCATAATGTGTTAAAATGAGCTTTAAGTTCTATAAACTATTGTAGAAATTAAATTAATCAAAATATTTAATATACAAATATGCAAATAGCAGGAGATAAACTTGGTGAATGATGGGGGTTCATTATCTGCTTTGTTTTCTGTGGGTTTTTATTTATGGGAAATGCATACATTTTTGTGGATGAATGTGTATGTGTGTGCATGTCCACACTTACCGATTCACATTCTAAACTGCCATTGACGGTCCCAGTGCTGTGGCACTCACACGGTTTGCACACGTCCATGGCCCACAGGAGTGCACCCACCTCCCTGTAGAACAGACTCTGACACCGCTCACAGTTCCTGCCTTTAAACCCAAAGAGAGTGAGTCTGCGTGTGCTTGTAGAAGGAAATGGGTGGGGGGAGGGGGAAATTGATGTCAACCTATTAAAATTCAATCATATCATAGGACTATGATTTCAAATTAAAAACTGCAGTCTTGGGAGAAGTCCGGAGAGAGATGTGTAATTTTCTAAGGTGTCCATTTTAATGTCCTCTTTCATCCCTACCTGCCATTGTGCCTGATGCCCAGCATATGAAACAATGAACCTGTTAGCATGGCCTGATTTACTACATTAAATGTCCATCTGTTTTCGCTCTGATGCATTATTTCGATTTTTTCTGCTCTGCTTTTTGATGCTTTCATTATATCACTACTATTTCTCCAGCTGTTGTAATTAAAAATATCTGGGTTTCTGTTAGATATGGCATATTGGAACAATACAAAATTATTTTATAAATCATGAGACAGAAATAGGTCTTAGAGGTTGACCAATATGGGTTTTTCAATAATCGACTGGGATATTTAAAGAGCAAGATGACTGATAGCCAACACATTCTGATAATCTATAGATATGTTTAAACTTTTTTTTTGTTACAAAATATTTACTTAAATTTTACTCATCTTTTTGTCAAATATTTGAAACATTTGAGATATGAAACCCCTAGGGAAAAATCATTCTATTTTACATTTTTATTATATATTTTTTAAATCACAAATTTGTTCACTCCAAATTATAAGTGTAACAAGAGAGAGGTTAAATTGAAAACTTACATTTTATTTTACATATTTTATACAAATTATTAATTCTAAAACCTTTAGGTTTCAATACATTTCCAAATGTAATTTTACATTTCAGATTTTCACTGTTTCACAAATAGGAACATTACAATACAGGCACACTCTGAAAAAAAAATAAACATTAAATGCTGTTACCTGTGGTGTGATGTGTACAGTTATCACACACCCCTCCTCCTCCTCTAAAGTGATCTTCAGGGTGAGGATCCAGGCTGGCATTGTAGTGGCAGGAAGAGGCGTGGCCGTAGCACTGGCATGGGCGGCAGTTGTACGCCTGTACCTGATCTCCAGCTCTGAATGGCTTGTCATTGAAGAGACGAGAGCAGCTCTCGCACTGTCG